TGACTGTGGCGCTGGCGGCGGCGGCGGCGGCGGCGGCGGCGGCGGCGGCGGAGGCGGAGGCGGAGGCGGAGGCGGAGGCGGAGGCGGAGGCGGAGGCGGACGGTGAGGGTGAGGAGGCGGCGGAGGCAGAGGAGGTGGAGGAGGCGACAGAGGCGGCGGTGGAGCTCGACTGCGCCTCAGCCGCTGCCGCTGCAGATGCACGATCTTTGACCACGATGGGCGTCGATGCGAGCCGGTCGCGCAGAGATTTGAGCTCGGCCTGCAGGTGATGGTTCTCGAGGTGCAGGTCGCGCGAGGCGCTGGCAGTGGCTCGGCCGGCAGCAGGTCGAGCGCGCGGCAGCAGCTGCAAGAGGACAGCGCTCAGCACGAGGATGACGAGCAGGCACGGGAGCGCCCTCATTACGCAGTTAGCTCAAAGGCAACTCCAGCACACCAACACCCGAGCCGCTAGCCGGACCCGACAAGACTTCAGGTCTCAAAAAAAGAAATAACCGCAGGTCGGAGCTGGGAACAGGACCGCCGCAAGCGGCGTGGCGTGGTGCGGTTGAGCATCCCTCCGGGGGCCCCTCTGCGCCGGGGAGGCGTTGTTGGAGGCTAGGACGCAAGCGTCCGTCGCCTTTTTCAAACTCGGGGCCCACTCCGCTGCGCTCCGACCCGAATTTGGAGGGCCACGAAGTTTAAGGTGTTGCTGCGCAAAAGGGGCGGGGCGCGGGCGCGCGCGGCAGGCCGACAGCTCTTTTTGGAGATCAGACCTTTCGATGGTTCATGCTTTCTATGTCTATCAATCATGCTTCATGACACGACACGCGGTGGTGGGAGCGTGGGGAAGGGAAGGTTGGGCCGGGCCGTGAGGGGCTGATGGCGCTGGTCAGCGCGGGGTGTGAGATGTCGTCGTCGTCGTATACTGCTGGCCCTCGAGTTGCCAGGGCTGCGTGGGCTGCAGAATTGGCGTCTGAGGTCTGTGGCGTCTACGCAGGCTCTGCAGCGTGATGGCTGTCGCCATTTAAATTTTAATCGCGCGCGCACGAACAAGCCACCGGCAATGCGGCCTAGGCTGGCCGATTTCTTTCGCGGTATCCGCGGCGGGATATGGCGGGATATGGCGGGATATGGCGGGATATGGCGGGATATGGCGGGATATGGCGGGATATGGCGGGATATGGCGGGATACGGTCAGATATGGAGAGATACATCAAGATACCGCAAAGAAATCGGCCAGCCTAGGCCTACCGGCACGGGCCACGGCGGCGCCGGCGGCTTTTGAGGTTACAGCACGTGTCATGTTCATGTATGCTCTCAACGGAGTCGCGGTAAAACGTGGGGGCTTCACGGGGCTCGGCGTCGAGCGTCGTGCCCGCGTGCCGGGGTAACACGTTCATGAAACGGCGAGCAACGCCCTCACGCCCTCACGCCCCGCACACATATGGCCGACCCCGAGTGGGTGACGGCGACACAGACTGCGCTCGGGCCGTTGATCAAGCGACCCAAGCTGACTGCGGCGCTGCTGAGCAAACCGCCCTTCCGCTTCCTGCACGACATTGTTTCTGAGGTGTGACGCCGAACGCTCAACAAAGCTTGCCGCATTATTACCCACGCCCGACCGCCTGCCAAGCCTACAGCAGACGTTCACCACTGCCGCCCGTCAAAGACACACCTTCCCGCCGCTGCCCAGGTGACGCGCGCCACGGGCTTTGCCGACGGCCTCTTCTCTGAGGACGAGCTGCAGTCGGGCCGCATCAAGGAGAAGGAGCTCAAGATTGCATACCTCTCCAAGATCTTCAAGTGTGTGGAGGTCGCGTCGGGAGGGGCCCTCGGCGTCCGCCCGGGCAAGGTCGTCGCTGGCATGGAGCCCGAGAACACGAACGCGTTTCTGGTGGCTCTCGCGCGCGTCGCAACCAGCGGCGTGGACAACGCGGGAGTGGTGGCGAGCACCCTTGACGCAATAGCCGCGTCGGCAAAGTCGTCCCGCTCTTCGCCGCCCGCCTCTGCTCCGCCGGTGCAGGCCGAGCCGTTGCCACCACCGCCGCAGCCGCCGCAGCCGCCGCCGCCGCCGCCGGTGGTCGCATCCCATCCCGGCCAAGCCCCTACAGGGAGCGGAGGCGAGCGGGGCGGAGCAGGAGGCGAGTTGTCTGCAGCGCCCGAGGCGCAGCCACAGCAGATGGCCTCCGCGCCACCGCCGCAACGGCTCGATCCGCCGAGCGGTACTTCTAGCCGGGGGGAGACCGGCGGCGGCGGCGGCGGCGGCGGCGGCGGCGGCGGCGGCGGCGGCGGCGGCGGCGGCGGCGGCGGCGGCCCGCCCGCCACCGCTCGGCGGCCGCCGCCGCGATTTGCGAGCAACAGCGTGCAGGCGGAGAAGACGAGCGGTGGGAAGGCGGTACCGGCCGTCGAGATTGTGCGCGACGGTGCCGATGAGGAGGATGATGATACGGTGTTGATGGTGGATCCTCTCGGGGAGCAGGTCGACACCACCTCGATGGACACTGCAGCCATCGATGCCCACGTGCGCCGCCGCCGCCACCAGCAGCAGCGAGCGCCGGTGCGGGTGAAACTTAGCCAAGACTTATCTGTAGGCGCACGGCAAGCTGGTGCGCAACCTCCTGGAGGCGCAGCTGGACATGGAGGGTGCTAGGCGGGCTCGTCTGGCGCGTGCCCAGTCTGGATCGTACTTTACGAAACGTGCGTCCTCCGCCTCGTTTCACGGTGGCGCCATGTGTGTTCATGCGCGGGGGTGCTGGGCACCTCTTCTTCTCTCGTGACCGTTGAGCTCGGTATGTGAAGAAAGGCTACCGCCCCGCTCGTACCTCGCGGGGCTATCGCTCATCCCGGCCGCCCGCCTCCCGGTTGGTGAGCAAATTGAGCACAGCACAGGTTTGGTGACTGCAAAGATATATATCAAGCGGCGTCACAGGACGAGGCAGAAGAGAACGACGCGACAGGAGGAAATGACAAGGGAGAGAACGACGAGAGTGGGACGACCGCGAGGTGGCATGAAGGTTGCAGCGAGAAGCGGCGAGAGACTGCGAAGAGAGATAGGAAGAGGCAGACTCCCTAGGGTGGGCGACGGCTAGCGCACCACACACCTCTCCTTAAAATCCCTGTGTGGTGGCGGCGTGCCGTTCATCCCTCCCTTGGGCTGTGCGTTTTCTTTCTTTTCTTTAGGGTGCCAAAATGGGGCGCGTTGTGAAACCGCAGCTGGCCCCGCCGACGGGTAGCACAGGTCATGAGTGAGGCCACGCCAGCTGCCTCGGGTGCTCCGTGTGGTCGGCCTGGACCTTGCCACAAGCCTCGAGCAGCGGAGAAGCGCTGTCCTTGAAGTCCAGACATGCTTCGCCGCCGTGGCGCAGCACCGCAGTGCGAGCGAGCAGTGCAGTGCAGTGATCGCTTGGACTGCGGCACCCACCGACTCCCTGCGCTCCGCCTCCGGGCACATTGGCACATGTGCCAGCGGCCTTGTGGACGGCTCGGGCACGATCTGCACACGACGGCGCGGCGTCGCGAGGCGGCCGTGTTGTGAAAACGAAGCTGTTGCGAAACCGAAGCACCTGTAGTCTTCCTAAAACTGGCTCGGGGAGATTCGGGGAAAACTCGCCCGGGAGTCCGGAGGCGGGAGGGGGAGGGAGCCAAACGGGGGAACAGGCGCACTTGGAGCACTTGCAGTGAGTGCGCGGTCGGTAACCTATAAAATAAAAAGAGCGACGCACGAACACAGAGGGACAGTGCGCACCCCGCCCCGCCGCTCGCAGGGTGTGCATCACACAGGTAGACTGTGTGATTCTTATGGGTTTCTGGGGACTCTTGACACAGTAAGGGTCGGACCTCATGTCAAAAGAGCCGGTCATTTCTTTTGAGCCGTGTCGCGTGTGTACCGGTACCTGGGTGTTAGTGCCAGTGCGCGCCAGTCCCGTGCCCAGTGTCGTGCCGGACAACTGGTAAGATTCTTGTGTGCCGGTGTGTGTGCCAGTCCGCCAGTCTGCGCCCTTGTCGTGCCAGCGTGCTGGGAAGGTTAAATTCTTTTTGAGCTAGACTTCGATGTTAAGGTTCTTCGGGCCAGTTGGGGGGGGCAAACCCTGCCCGGCCCCTAGGACCCCAGGTAAGGCCCAGGTGTGGCCTAGGGCATCAGAAGGGACCAAGAGGAGTCCAGTCTGAGCCATAGAGCCCATGTCTTTGCCCCCGAAGGTCGCGTTCAAATGCCCGGAACGGACGTCACAGTGGTGTCCGGCCGGCGCGATCACCGAGCTGTGACGCTCAGGGAAGCCCAATGAGGTGCTGGTTTCTTTGCCCAGGCCTGGCCTACGACCCAGGCTGGATCAGCTGAGCAAGGTTTGGGGAGAATCCTATATTGGGATCTTCAGATATTTTGACGGATGACGGAAAATGGC